ATTCTGAGCACCAGCTCTGGCCTCTTCGCTTCCACCTGGTCTACCTAATTAATTAAGCAAGGAAGTTACCTCAAATTTTTGTACTATTTGTTTTTATTATCATGCACTTCTTTTGATGTTCCAGGAGTTAACCTCTTAATCCACAGACTCTGTGTGTTGTGTTCTGAACATTTTGGGATGTCTGGATAATTTGGATAATTGGTCAGGATGTTGCTGTCGCTCATGTTAAACTTTATGCTATGACTACAAGTTCAAAGATCAGTATTAAGGTAATATACTTCATAAAGCCTTTTTAAAACTGCACTTGTGATTATGCAATACCTAGTTTTTCCAGTTTCTTGCAGTAGTAAATTGCACTATTTGTATTTTCTTAAAAGGAAATTACTCCAAAACATCCTTCTCTTTGTTAACTTCAAATAAATACAAATTTCCATTGAAGTTACATCAAGAGAAAGGTCATATTTTAAAGGTCAAGAAAAGGTATGGCAATTATCTCCTCAAAAATGTTTGCCTGCTTCACACAGCAGCACACATGTAATTTTCTGTGCAGTCTGTTACCACACATGGAAACATCAGCACTGTGACCTACTCAAGTGCAAATAGCACAATTTTTCTTTTTTTGGAGGGAATGATAAAGAATGAGGTTAATTCTGACATTAAGAAACACTGTTGACAACTTTGTTTCATAACTACAATTGGAACACATCAGACAAAGAACTAGAAGATTATCTAAACAAGAAACATAATTTTATGCACAGTCTCTACAAAAGAAGACAAGAACAGAGAAAGATGCAAAACAGTTTTTAATACTGATGCAAGAGATTAAAGTGATATCAGGTGTATCAACAGCTCAGTTAACAGCACTGGCTAAGCTGGAATGTATCACAATTCAAAGCCTTAAAAAATCCAATCCACACGTGCACACAAAAACGTGTGTGCACATATACACACATGGCAGACAGAGCCATACACACACATATATATACACATATATACACACGTATATATATAAAGATTACCAGCACTGGCTAAGCTGGAATGTATCACAATTCAAAGCCTTAAAAAATCCAATCCACACGTGCACACAAAAACGTGTGTGCACATATACACACATATATATACATATATACACACACATATATATAAAGATTATCTATATACACATGTATATTATACAGCTCCAGTATTGGCTGGATTATTACTAATATATTATCATGTATCATAATATTATTATTGTCTTGACATCAAAATTGTTCAATTGCCATTCAGTGGAAATGAACAAGAGCAAAGCACAGCATTTAAGCTCTTTAGAAGGGCCTGGTCAGCCCCCCCAGGCCCAAAATGCCCTTTCTGAATTCACACAGTGGATTTAATGAAAACCTAGCAGATAATCAGTCTGAACTCCAGTGCAGCACTGCATCCATCCATGGCCAGTGACTCGTTTCCCTGTTTCTCTCTTCTGCACAATATGCAAGCCCTTGGTTGTTTTAAACTGCTGCCCTGGGGAAGCCAAGAGAGCCTCTCAAAGAGGCCATGTGCCATCTAAGAAAGTAAACCAGCAGCCAGGGAAAATGGCCATGGGAAACTGGAAGATGGTTAATCAAACCCATTCTGACTCAGAACAGTTAAGGGAGCAATGCTACCACTCAGGAACATGGAATGAAAAGTTATACAAAGCTCACAACAGTAATTTATGAGCTATCTGAAATATCAGAACTCGCAAAAAAAAAATCACATTACAGTCAATACACACAATCAACTTTTATAGCACAGTCTGTGATAAACAGATGGCTAAAATCTTCAGGAATCAGACCCACACGTGATAATGACTAAAATTACTGTTGCTATTTAATCTGAACAAAGGCATCCATTAAAAAATGAAAAAATCATTTCAATTTCAGGAATGAACCTCTTTTAATTATGCACTTTCAAAACTTTTATGGAAGTCCAACAAGTAATTGATATATTAAGACCTTCAAATAGACATCTTCAGTGCACACACCTATATCCCAAGTGACCTATTTAATCGTTATGATGAAGGCAATTCAATGACAAAAGGACCTGCATAAAAGCTTCCACTGGAACAGTCTTTTTATCCAAATTTTTATCTGAGCTGGGTATCTAGAACCAGCTGCTTTCCCAACTCCCAACTGAAAGATTAAAGATCCATGCCAAACCTCTTTACTGAATGTCTTCACATTTACAGTAGATCATTCTTCTCTTAAATGCTGTGAGATTTGCCAAATGTATGAAATGTTCTTTTAAACTGAGATCACCAAAATCTGATTTTTCCAGTGCACAGTAATAGTATTTGAACAACGTTTTATCTCTCTGGTCCATTACTTTGATGCAATGAATGACAAAATATGACTTTTTTTTTTAATTAACACACAAATAATTTGTTCAAATACCAACATTCTATAAAGCAATCATGGTCCCAAAATCTTCTTGGAAAAGAGGTAACAAACATGACAAAAATCTACTGAAAGTAAAACTTGATGGGAAACACCCTTCCTTCACAGATGCTACAACTGAAAACTGTACATGTAATCATGAGTTTGACTGATCATGAATTTTCCCAGATTCTAATCACCCAAGTATGTGATAAAATCTTTAAAACATATCTAGCAACTACTACAAGTAGAACCCTTTATTTACATCAGCATCTGAAAAGAACAGCACATTTAACTACCACCTTAGTCCAGAAGTGCCATCTGCCACCTACTCTCCAAGAAAAGCAAAGACAAGGTATGTTCATATTACAACATCCAACAATGCCTCAATCCTGACCAGCAGCTTCAAGGCTCACTTCAAATTGGCAAAACAATTCCATCCATTTTGGATAAATTTAAACAGAGAAGTGAGATAGAACAGACATTGCAAAAAATCCTGGAGTACTTGTACCAGGAACCACACTTGGCTTCTGGGATGGAGCAAAAACATCCAGAACTCAAAGAAAAAAAAAAAAAAAATGGAATTTCCTCCCCTCTAATAAGTGGATTTTGATACTAAAATCTGACCTCATGTGTCCCCATGAAGAAGCAAACTTCAAAGCACCAAAAAATCATATTTTCCCTAGCATCTACAGAAGATTATGATTCTATCTTACCCATCTTATCTCACAAATGCTTTCAAGCATGAATGTGCAATAGTGATCTGACTGATCCTGAATGGGGTTCATTGATAGCCACTACCATAAGAAAGTACCACATTAACTATTAAAAGTTTCCTGTGAAGTGCAAGTTTCACGTAGCTGGGATACACAAAGCATCTGTTGGAGCCTACCAGAGTCTACTGGAGTCTACCCCCAGAAGGACCTTACCCAGTATGCTAATGGAGAGAATCCTTGGTTTTGTTTGGTTGCAGGAAACACAAACCCCACTGAAATCAGTTAACACATTTTTAAGAAGAAACGATAAATATTAGCTGTGGCTAGATACTTAAGTGTCAAAAGGAAAATGGAGTGGCCTCCACATGAAAACTGGAAAGGCAGAGTTGCCAAAACCTCTCAGCCCTGTAGATACCTGAAGTGAATGAAGAACAGAAAGTGTTTTCCAGCCAAGATGGAGGAGTTAAACACAGCAGCCCATCACCAAACTCCTTGGAAGTTGAATGCATTAGTTTGGTCACTCAAACTCATTAGCTGGCTGAAGTGACCTGGCTACTTCTGCAGCTTGGTCAATGCACAGCAATGCTGCAGCAGCATCACCTCAGCCCAGGTGACACCAGACAACATTCACACACCACCAGGCCCTGCAGGTGTTTTCTAACACAGCTGCATGGCTGTAATCCACCAGTACCTTTTGTTGTGGAAATAAGTCTCTGTTTCTCCACATTATTCTCTCTGAATTAAAATTTTCCTTCACACAGTAGATCCTAAGTTGTTTTTCGTTTGTTTTGCTGTCCTCTGTTTTCAAGCGAGCCCAAAAATCCCAAATTGAATGGAACACCTCAGTTGAGCTTTCCCTAATCCCACCAAGAACCAAAATGGTAACTTCACTGCCTTCATGCCAGTTCCTGCCAATGCAACCAGGAATGATGTTTCCCTTCCAAACACAATTACTCCTTAATGGCCTGACATGCCACACCATGCTTCAGTGACTCATAGTCTTTTGCATCCATCTTTAATTCATTTTAATTCTCCAGATTTCAAGATCACTTTCCAAGACCCTTTGCTTTCTGACAATTGTCATCCAAAGGGAGCAGAATTCCCTCAAGGGTAGTATCATTAAAAACAAAAGTGTAATCATGTGGATGATAAAGATTAATGGAAAACTGCTACAATTGGTCCCCAGACACTCATTCCAGTTTAATCTATTTGATATTTATGATTTGAAATTAATTTTGACGTGCCTCCCACTACAGTAATTTTTCACTGTATTTCTTTAGTTCATGTATTATTACAATCATTATCTTATTGTTCAAAAATTGCTTTGCCAAGTTCCCTGCTTTACTCAGCCCTCAGCCTGCTTCAGCCCTCTTACCCTCAATATACTGAACTAAGTTGAATATTTTACGACATGTTTTTTAATATATTATTGTTAATATCCACCATATTTGAACCTTTTTTGGGATGTCTGTAATCTTTAAAATTAACAAATCAATCTTGTATTCTCATGGTCATCTGTTATTTAACCACCCTTCTCATTAGCAAAAAACCTCTCCTCCTTTTCCTTATTATTTTATTCCTAGTGCATTTCTTGAACCTTCTCTCCTTTTAACATCCCCACAGAAACATCTTCCAAAAAACAAAACCTGATTGAATAATTTCTTTTTTTTAACGTAATTTTCTTTATTTCAGTACACATGGCTTTTAAGGAGTCCTTTTTCCCCCTGTATACCTGGCCCATGCCAGAGTGTGCAGCTGTATACAACCTTCAACATAAGCAGACATGCCAGCACCAAACCCTCCCCAATCTGTAATTTCAGTTTCATTAGAAACAAGGGCTGAAAATTAAGTGTACACTGCAATTACTCTGTATTTAATAGTGTTTTCCTACCTTTTTTAAGCCAGCAAATCCTTCTGATTCCAGGAAGAAAAATGCAAAGGGCATCAACACAAATAAACACAGATTTGAAAAAAGAGAGGCAAGATTCCATAAACCTGCAACAAACAAAAAGTTTACATTATAAGTTTCACAGTTAAATATATTACATTTTCCTCCTTCACATATAACAATGTAATGTATGTACAAGTGCCAGGGGTTATGGATATAGTTATTTTCAGGTCACTGCTGAAAATATTCATTTCCCTGCATCATGATCTTCAAACAAAACCTGGATACAACTTAGCTTTCAACAGCAAATGTCTGAAACCCTGGGAGACAGACTGCAAGCTCAGGTGTACCACTTCCACAATCTCACTGAAGGTTCTTTAGAGAACCACTGCAGAAGTTCTCAGGACAAAGGTATTTTACCACTCTCAATGAATCTCACAAAATCCCGTTTTGTATACTCCCTTTCTCCCATATTTCTCCCAGCAAACCATGGATTTCAACATGTGGAGTACACAAATGCCATCATCACCTCCAAATCAGAAGAAGACATCATGGTAACAGCAGCCTTCCACAATGGGATGACTGGCTCAGCAGGCAAAACAAGAGCAGCAAATATTTTCATCTCAATTTTATAAGGCTTTCAACATCACCTCCCATGAACCCCCTCACAGCTTAATTAATGAGGTATGGGCAAGGTAAGTGGACTCTGAGGTGGACTGAACAGTGGCTGAGCTTCTGGGCTCCCAGGGTTGTGTCACCAATGCTGTGGACACGCTAGGGGAACGATGGTGGGTCAAACACCTTCACCAGGGAGCTGGGTGATGGGAGAGGGCACGTCCCCAGCAAACCTGCTCAAGAGACAGAATGGGGAGCAGTGTCCTGCAACTCTGATGAACCTCAACAGGCAAACAGAGAGCAGAGAAGAGAGGACTCAGGGAGATTTTATCCATGTACATAAATATCTGATGAGGGAGGGAGGAAGGAATTCAGGGTCAGATCTTTACAGTGGTATCCACTAAACTGAGGAGAGGCAATGAGCATGAATTGAAAAACTAGAAAATTTACTTATTCATAAAATAAAACACCAAATAAACTAAAAATTCCAAACATTTTCCACTGCCACTGTACTCAAGCAGTGCAACAGATTGACCACAGGTTTTGTGATCTCCATCCTTCAACATACTCAAACCTAAAAGTGGAGTGACCCTGCCTGGATCAGGTTATTTCCAGAGGCCTTTCCAACCTCAACCACTCTGTGATCTATGTGAAAAATCAACAACTCACTACAACAAGGACATCTGTAAGACACATGTGACATCTGCAGGAAGAGAAAGGGTTTAGAAAACAAGCTGAAGTGATAACTAATCTCTGTTCAGGTATCTGCTCTACTAAGACTTTCTAAGCTGAACACTTTCTGAACAGCCAGTTTCTGGTGCCTAAACATGAATCCATCATCAATCATCCTATCAGAAGTTGTGCAGGATGCAGTGTTTCTGCTTTATAAAAGCAGAAGCTTATCTGCAATTTAGTAGCTAACAGGTCTAACTACTGTCACATGTTCTGCATCCTTAAAAAAAAAGTCTGTAGAGAAAAACAGGTTTCCTTCCCCTCCATCCCCAAACCACACACATTTCCACAATTCTGCAGGACTGTGTTGTATCACCTGAATATCACTCAGAAAAGAATATTTCCCCATGATAAAAAAAAAATTTAACAGCCTTGTTCGTTTCCTTCTTCCCATGTACAGGCTTGTTTCTTTTCCTCTTTGAAACTTGCCACTTTGTAAAGAATAAGGAAGGAAAAAGACATTTACTGGATGTCCAGGGTATTCATTTTTATCAAGAGAAATTTCTTAATTAGATCCAAGTGTAAAAAACTTAGCAGTGATTTTTGCCTATACCCTCTCAAAAAAATGCTTCTATCATAGTCTTCCTTTTTTTCTTAAATGACAACATTCAAACTTGAAGGAGAAATAAAAGTTGGAGGGGAACAGGGGGCCGAGTGAACTTCAGCAATTGACAGCAGCAGGACATCAGCAACCAAACTGAGCCAAACAGGCTACAGAAAACAAAACAAGAAAATTCCAAAAGATGCCTGAAATATAACACTCATTTGCTAAAGAAAACAGAGTGCCTAAAGGTGGCTAAACTTCAGTTAACAAAGAGGGGGATTTTTCCTTTTGAATTTGCTTTGCCAGGAAGCTCCTGTTACCATTCGAGAAACATTCAGGCATAGCAACATCAGCAGGAATGTCATTAACAGCCCTTACAAGGGGACATTAACTCCAGCAGTCTGCACTTTTTTTTCTTTCCCCCCTCTAAAAAAGACACCAGAGGAAGAGTAGAAATACAACTTGATGGGGGTGGGAGTCTTATTTCAGCAGTTTTCTCTAACTGAAGACTGAGTGCATTCAGTTAATGCAAAGCTGAATACCTGCTTATCCTAATTTCAGCAGCTCTATTACACGAGTATTTTGCAACAGAAAACAGTGCTCAGGAGCTGCAGAGAACACTGTGCATTTTAAGGGAGAGGAGACTGGTGCATATCCAGGGTGATTTTCAAAAAGTTAAAATCCATAAATTTACACATTAGTGGCATAGAGGAAACACATTTACAGAATATTAAACTACAGAGTTACAATATGCACATAAAGTTAGGAAAGACAAGGGCAGTGCTGTTCTGCTGCTGACAGGCACATGCATTTCCCTCAGAGTAAGGATCTTCTCTATTTCTCATCCTCATTTAATAGTTCAGAAGTCAAATTAAAATAGACACAAAAATAATTATTTTCTACTATACTGACTGCATCATAAAATTTCATAGGACACTTGACATCAACATATAGAAAAGCTTTAAGCAGCCAATTAGAATTTTTTTCATTTGTAGTGACCAAAGATTATCCCCCATAAAATAAGTAAATAAAACACAAAAATTAAAAATTTCTCAGGCTTTGGCTAACAGATTAGACCCCAAGCAATTTCCCATTTTTCTTACTCATGGCAGTTTCATTACGCTTTACCCCCACCTGGTGGTTGTACCCAAAAGCAGCACAAGGGAGCACTCCTGTCAGAACTAGTGTTAGTTCAGCACATTAATTAGCTAAGTGTGTTTATACTGGATCCAGGTGCGGCCTTTCTGCCTAGTTTCAAAAGTTTCAGACATATATTTTCAGCTTTTTTATTTGCCAGACGTAACGCAACAACCTACAGAATAAAACCCTCAGCGTCAACTTCAAGTACAGCTATCAGATGATAGCTGTAAACCACAAATCTAGGGGGGGAAAAAAAAAAAAAAAGTGTTTTAAAGCAACACAGGATCTGGCAGCATTTTCGAGGCAGCACACAGGCCACAGGCGCAGGCGGTGCGGGCCGGGTGTGAGTGGCCGGGCGCCCTCAGAGCTCCCCGGGCGCGGCGATCCCGGGCGCGGCCGCGTGGGGGAGCCCGAGCCCCAGGGACCGGCCCCGGGCCAGCTCCGACCCGAACCCGCCGGAACTCGCCCCAAATTCACTGCCCGCCATCGCACCCGCAATGCACACACCTGGAAACGCCAGAATGCTCCATTCCCCTCCTTGTTAGCCTCTGCTGCTGGACTGGCCAAATAGAAATTATACTGTGTATCCATAAAGCAGTATTTTCAAACATCGTCACGCTAAAAGATGGTCACTGGCAAATTCAAAGGCTTTCCTATTTAACACCAACGATTCCAGATTTCTTACTAACCCAAATTTGCTGGAGCAACAAGTGACAGTAAAAATTTCTGAAATGGTTATCATATAATTTTCAGTCTCTGATGGATTTTACTGCTCTTTTTCCAAAGATAATCCTTCCTTCTGTGTCTGAATCATCTTCCAATAATTTATTTTCTCATGTTTGGGAATAAAGAATATAAATGTCTGAGCAGCTGAATCTATGTAAAAACATTTATTTAGCTTGGGATTTTTTTCTCCCACGTAGGAGACATACCAAATTAGCAAATCTCCACGACGTGTCACAAAACACATCATAAAATAACTCAATTAGAAAGACCCTGTACAGTCACCTGGTCTGACCTGCCCTTAAAGAGCCAAACTGCAGGTGCCATCAGGGCTTTGGCCACCTGAGTTTTGGAAAACTTTCAAGAACTCCCAGTGTCTCTGGACAGCCTTTTTCACTGTTCAGCCATCCCTGCTGTGAAGAATTATTCCATTATGTCCTACAAACATCACTTCGCACCTCTCACTTCACAAAACAAAACAAAAACCCAAACTAAAAAAGAAAAAATCCTTGCAAGTCAGGGATCCAGAAATCCATGAATTTGCTATATGTGAATATTATCAGACATTTAGCAAAAAGCATGCACTTTTCCAAGCAAAACACAAAACAAAACCCCAAACTAAAAAAGAAAAAATCCTTGCAAGTCAGGGATCCAGAAATTCATTAATTTGCTATATGTGAATATTATTAGACATTTAGCAAAAAGCCTCCAAAGCCAAATTGCTCTCTCTTCACAAGACTAAAGAGAACACCACAGTTAACCTGTAAATTATTTGTACCAGATTAAATATTTTCATACAGTGAACATACTTTCTGCAGACAAACCTAGAAAAGAATGTCCTGTTTTCATCAGTTATTTTATTGCACATCTTTATCACGTATTTATATTCCACAATTTTCCTTGTTTGCACATAAATCACCAACAGCTGAATTTAACTATCTCGTCTGAGCTGCCCACAGCTAGCAAGTTTCATAAAACATGTTTTTATTTTGAGAATAAATTTATAGGTATCACCATAAAGAGAAAGGCATATAAATCTTGCATTAACATAAAGAAGTGTGAACAGCATGTTTCAAGTTAGCTTCTAGTAGCTCTTATTTACATTAATGTTCAAAGCAGTGAATTTGGTTTAATTCCATCAAGCCTGCATAATTCTTTAAAAAAAGAACAGAACAGTTAAGACAGACTTTTGTGATATGTCACACAGCAGCAAAACCAACTAGCCAACAGCACATTAACAATTAGCATATTAAATGAAAAGAGTTATCAGTTTGAAAATAAGGACATATCTGTGCACACATAACCAAGACATTGATTTTAATTAAATTATGCTGAGTACTAACCATGAATTAGTGAGCCATTTAACCACTGAATATAGTAGTTTTGTGGAAAAGAAAGCAGGATCTCATTGCTGATTATTGAGAAAGGTAGAAGCAGGACTGCACCAGCTGAAACTGCTAGAGTGAAGGTACTCAAGAACAGCCTGAAATTTAAAGAAATGTACCACTGTTACCACCAACATGCTCTGAACAGCAGGGAAAAAAGTAATTAAACTACCTGCTAATCAGTGTCTAAAGGCAATACATTCTTATATTATAAATGGGCAGGAGAAACTGGGATTTCCAAAACATCTGACTTTCAAAAAGCAAATTTAAAATAGCTTACAGAACCCAATACAAATAATTTGGTTTTCCAACTACCATGATTACTCTCTTGGCACATGCATGCATTCAATTCCATTTAATACAAAGGTTAAACTACTCGAGTTCATTAAATATCTTTTCACCAGTCTCCTCTGTCAGTTTTAATTTCCCACACAGACACATACACAATAAAAATATTCAGTTTCTACATTCTTAGCACAATTTTTAAAAGCAGAGCAACATTCTAACAACTAAAGAGTCACTACAATTATACATAAATATTTGAATACCAAACTAAAATAAAAAGTTGGGTTTTTTTCCAAAAAGGAGTTATTCAAGTTCTTATCTCATAAATGTAAAGTCAATATACAGAAATTGTCAGAAATGTTTCAAATATTTAAGCTTATTCCTTTTAGATCCCAAATACAACTTACACCAAATGCCATCTTGTGGCATTAAAAAGAACTGTGTCCTTAAAAAAAAAATCAACAAAACTTTCTTACAGAACTAATCTAATGCATTAATAAAATTAGAAATAATTCTCAATGCAAAACTGCATGACAAAATAAATAAAACATCCCTACAACAGCAGCATCTGTAAGCTGCTGGCAGAAATCTTACTTTTCCTTAATAGTCTACAAGTCCATTTTTCATTCATACAATACTTCAAAAACAAAGTATGAGTAAGTAATTTTAACTTTTAGAATATGCTTATGTTGTTGCTGTTGGCTTCTGAGATTTTTTCTTCTATTTAATGATGTTTAAGTATTCTAAGCCAGAACTGGGAAACCTAACAAACTACAGCAAAATGCTACAGCCCTCTGCCTTTGTTTTCTCATCCCTCCACACCTCAAATCCTGACAATTATGCCATGAAGAAAAATCTATTTACATATGTTTCAGAGTTATCGCTTTTAGGAAAATAACATGCACATTTAAAGAAGCTTAGGCTGAAAGGAAAAAGAACATTTTCTATTTACAACACTTTTCTCCAAGCTCTCCTTCCAAGGGGATGCCAGCAGCACCAGGGAAGCCAAGAGCACTGGGACACAGCAGGAGCCAGTTCACACAGCTCAGCCAATGATGTAACTGGGAGGGCAGCACCAGCCAGGGCAGCTCTGCACATCCTGAGGCATATTCAAATAGGAGATACTCATCTCTAACTTCACACAGCAAGAGGATAAGGAGAAGCTGCTGGCAAAGGAGAGACCAGTGCTTGTCTTCCACTTGTCACCTTCCTGCAGCTTTTGTACACTGATCAAAGGTATCTTCTTCAGAGAGAGCTAACTTGCTTCACAGGATCACTGCCTCCCTTCCATCCACTGCTGTGGCCACTTCCAACACCTCCCATCCAAACACCCATGTTTGGAGACCTAAATGCATGTCTTGCACTCAATTCCAGCTCTTGCAATGTTCTGGCCAACTTCATACCTACCAGCAGAACTACAGGTGAAAAAAGGCCTAAACCAAACTTTCACAACACTTTTCATAACTCAAGGTGCCACTACACCAAATCTTTTTCCCTGAACCTCTAGCAGTCTATTTAAAGTATACTTAAATATTTCAAAGAGATTGTTATTTATTTGGAAGCACAGAAGATTCCTATCATAACAATACATTCAGGAGAAGTTCTGCCAAGAAGAGCTATACATACGATATTCTGTTAACGATGGCATCTTCATCCTCTTGCTCATCTGAAAATTAAATTACATCAGGTTACATTCAATACTCATTTGTTTTTCTTCAGGCTAAAATGTACATAGATAGGAATCATTTTAATTTACAATTAAAATTCAGATGGACTAATACAATTCATGAGCATCAATATTTTAAGAAGGTTCCTTCCAAAAACGAATACTCTCATCCTGTTTTTTCACTAGTCAAACTTTTTTTCATCAATGTAACAACAAAGTTATTTCACTTTTAAAAACAAGAAAGAATACCCAGAACAAGAGTGATGACTGCTCAGCTGCTTCCCTTTACTTACCCTTCTTTCCACCTCCTGGGGATTTGGGGGAGAGGAGGAAGGAGAGGTAGTTGTATTCTTGTTATTTGTTTTGCACTTAAGATACCATAACTTCCTTCTGATACTTCACATTTTAGACCATTTTTATTCACTTACTCCTCATTTCATACTTCACTAAAACAATCTTTTTCAAACAATAACATTTAAGATGAATCACTAACACATCCTTCATTTACTCTTTACACGCTTCTCTATGCCTTTTTATTCACTTACTCCTCATTTAATACTTCACTAAAACAATCTTTTTCAAACAATAACATTTAACTCAGATGAATCACTAACACATCCTTCATTTATTCTTTACACGCTTCTCCATGCCCATCAGTACACAAAAGTAAGCATTTCTAAACTTGAAATAATGTAGGCATTTTGAAATAAAAAATTCTGAATTTGAGATAATTTTACACTCAGCATTCTAATTTTTTTCCTATTTTCCACTGAAGATAGTACACCTGACTTTATTTATTCTTGAATTTTAAAATAAATTTAAGTTCTTAAGAGTCATGCACACAGTTGAAATAAACACACAACCATTAACCTCATGCTATTTTGAAATTCTTCTGTGAAAGAACCTGGAGTTGCTGGTTTTTTTTGATGGATACCTCATGGTGTTTTGAAAGACTAAGTAAAGGTCTCTTATGAATCATTTTGGCTAAAAAGCAGTGAACAATTTGTCCTGAAAGAGTTGCAGTTGTGTTAACACTTCAAGCATTTCTCATCAGGAAGATCATAGCAGGCTACAAAGTGTGCCTAAGTACATGCTCACAGAGCTTTCATAAAGTCAGGGCAGCTGCAGGGCAGTTCCTCTTCCCAGCTGAGGAGTTAACTGCCAACAAAGGGTAATAAAAGTGTCTTTGCATCCAACAGTGTTTGCCAAACCAGTTTCCCCTTCCTGTTCTTTCCATCTCCAAATGGTAGCAGCGTTTTGATGTCCAAAATACATATCAGGATCAGAAGACAGTATCTCTCTTACTTCCTATGTTTACCTTTCCTTTTTTAGATGTACCTTTTTTCCAAAGAATTAAATTCCACAAAAAGTTTACTTTTTAAAACACAAATCCATCCATGACAGCAGCTCTACATTAACATAGGTCACTCAAAAACAGTTTCCAATAAAGTTCAAAGCACCAAGATCACCACACAAAACAATGTTTCTAAAGCCTGACTATTATCAAGCACCAAGGTCCCAGATAAGCTGTCAAAAATCAAAGATTCTGTGATTTTTATACTGATTTTTATGCTATTTGTCTTTAGAAAAAAATATTGAAGGAAATGACAGGGGTTCCTACAGACTAGTTTTAGAATGTAAATTAAACAGTGTTTCCAAAGGGAAAAAAATATAATATTATCTCAAGGTATTTTATAAACTTCAGTGGTGAAGCCAAAGAGGTTAATACAACTGAAATAATAATTGTACCTGATCAGAGCAGAACTTTCTGAAGAAATAATGCTACCTCCCTTCTGTAACACTGGCAACCTCTCACTTTACTAGCAAAAGCTCAGAACCTGATTTTGCTGCCAAAACACAGCTGAAGATACTTATCCTGGAAAAGCTGATGTGAAAGGAGAACAACAGGATCTGAAAGCAAGGGAGGCAGAAGCACCTACTTTGACATGAACCCCTTTCCTCCATCTCAAAACAATTAACATGTTGGCTGCCATACACAACCAGGTCAGTGCAGGCTGCCATAGACCAGGAGCCTAACAAAAAGTTCTGTTTCTTCCACTTTCTTTGTGAAGATGGACAGGAAAAGAAAAATCTATTTATTTGAAAAACAATTTTTTTGACATATTAAAAATTATATTCTTACCTGCTTTTCTTTTGTATCTTGTGATTATAAAGTAGGAAACAATGTAGAGAACAGCAAACAGGAGAAAACAGATCTGGAAAAAAAATTGCATTAGGTCATGAAGAAATGCCTGGATTATAATAAGCAGTAAATCTAGTCTAAACAATTTAAAATTTAATTCAGATTAATATCAGCATATTTTATGTAAATTTCAAGACTGTTATGATTTATATCTTATTAACAAAAGTTAAACTCGTTGAAACAGCTTGATTAGAGCAACAGGTACTGTATCAACTACATGGTCAGCAAGTTTCAGCTAAATTTGAGAAAATACTTATTCACAATGTGATTTTTTTGTTTGAGGGACAGTGAGTGGAGTGGGGTGGGCTGATTTTTGAAGTTTGAATCCACTTGATTTGTAAAAGTTATCAGGCTTTGTATCCCCTTCCAACCTACCCAAAGGGTAATTGTATTTTATATAATGGGCTCTTGAGGATCTGTTTTGGACTATGCTGTCACACATGTGGAAAGAAACAAACATGTTTACTATTTGCATCCTGTCTTGAATCAAATTCCAGGTGACAACACAGACAAAGACTGGTGCCTACAGTGGACGTCCAAGCATGAGCTCATCAAACATGATGTTTCCTTCACAGTCAGAAGCCAAGGGCACAACTTCCCTTCTCACAAGGTTGGTGGTTTATTTAGGTCAGATACACCTTCAGCCCACAGTGCCTTGGACCAAGTTGTTTATAAGTTTTAGCACTACCATTACAATACAATAAGACCAAAACACCTAAAAGCATGCTGGAAATATTATAGGAAAGGAACTGAACAGCAGCAAAGTTTTAACCCTCCAAGCCTTTGTGGGGTAAAAAAACAAAACACAAAAACAAACCCCACACATTTTATTTGCTCCTGAATGAGGCATCAGTGGCTCAACATTGCTTCCTTAATCCTGGATGCCTGTGCCTATTAAACACATGAGTCAGTCAGAAATGGAACATGCCATTCCATTTTGGAAATTTACTCCACTGGACAATAGCTGACAATAGCTTTAAGCTATTATTTGTAGATTTGTTGCTTTTAAGACTCACTGTCTTAAAAAAAATCAAGAGCAGAAAGGCTACCCTAAGAGAAAGAGAAAATGAAGGTAGTGATCATAGCCCTGATAAATCTGCATCTAAGTAACAATACTGCATCCAAAACAGCAAATCGAGTGGAGAACAATGTATTGTTCATGAAAGATAGACTTTCTAATAAATACTGATAAATATAAACTGAAAGTGTTATTTTTCTGGTGGAGTCAGACATTTCACATTTTAAAAAACCAAGTAGAGCCAAGTATCTGAGTATGACATTTGGGTGACGTCCAGGTCCCTGCTGTAAGTCTGAAAGTGGCAACCCAGCTCATTCTCTGTGCAGGAAACACAGCAGCAACACCCAAAATACAGGCACTGTAAAAATGAGATTTCATAACAAGATTTCCGAATTCCAATCTTTAATCTGAATAGAGCTTACCACTCCAACTTTAAGGATGCCTCAAAGAAGAAATGGTTTTGATAAAGAATTCAGTGCTTTAAGTAAGTAACTCTAAAGAACATTATTAAGATTTAACAACAAAAAGCTGGTATATTTTTGAAACAGGAAGAGCAAAACAAACTGAGAACAGCCTTGGTTTTTCAGAGTACTCTGACACAGCTCGTCCTGTCAGTATTGGAAAATGCATCGCCAGTGCTGAAAGAGAATCCTTCTCTAAGCTTCCAGGTCCTCTGAAAACTAGACCAAGGCTACAGCTAGAGACATCTAATTTTAGGCACCCACTTTTGAAAATCAGGTATCACATATACAGGGTAAGTGAATTCTTTCAAAATCCGTCAGATGCAAATAACACAGCATAACCTGTGTAAAAGAAAAATAGAGTTAAGCTCATTTTTAGTCTGATTTTATTTAAAACAAGAATAAAAATTACTGCAGTCTTGTTTACACCTTCAAACAGAACAGATGACCTTTATTCTATCTGTGATAGCAAGGTTACAATGAAAATGTGGGTCTGTACTTACAAGGTACCACTGAGATAACAGAGGTATTTTGAGGGCAGAGCAGATGAAAGCTGTCCAGTAACACAAACTGGCAAATGCTGGATTTCTGGTTTTAGATAACAGCTACTTTTCAACACAGAAATAAGGGGTAACTCTACATCCTGATGTAATTCCCCCTCTACTTCTGTCAGATTTGAGAACAACTTTGTAAATGTTTTATAAAACTGTTTATTACTGAAAATCCACAAAATTTTGAAATTGTTGGCTAGAAAATAAATAAATTCTATTAAGTGAAAACTTTATGATCTGAAAAAAGAACTCAGATTAAAAGTCCTTCATTACTGACCAAAACAAGTTAAACAGCAAACTCAGAAACATCACTGCAGTCTCAATTCACACTCAGTGAAACCTCTGATCCTGAACTGTTTCTAACCATGCATTCTGAATAGCTTTCTGAAGGAAACAGCTCAAGTCAGCATCCCAACTATTTTTAGAGTAGAACTCAGTTAAGCTGGGGAAAAGGAATGTGTTGCCTATGATAGCTGAAGAATAGGCTCCACTGTCCTGTCAGCACTGCAACCCTGGCCTCCTATTCCTCATACTGCTGTTTGTTTCAGGATATTTTTGTATTAGGAAAAAAACATCCCGCCTTGTTTGTATTTGCTGTAGTTTCAGTTCATGTTTCTCAATTATGAGTGGCTGGGCTTGTTGTATGCAGCACTCCAGGTAAGATTTTACAGCTGTAGGTAACAACACTAAATCCTTCTTGTGCACTGAAAATGCTTGTCCATGCTCACCTTGATATCTTGGGTTTTAGCTTTTTATTTTCCTTTTTTTCCGATTTTGTGCTGTTTTGGTGTGTGAGTCTGGGTTTCATATAAGGGAATAGTAAGGTGTGGGTCTGGGTTTCATTTTAGGGGATGGCAAGGTGTGGGTCTGGGTTTTAAATGAGGGGACAGCAAGATCTCTTCACAGAGCAGGCAGACACAACAATTCCTTCTCTAGCCTGGACCCAAGGACAGCCAATCTGGATCTCAGGCCCAAGAGCATAAACAACGTGGACTGAAGAGAGAAAAACAAGAAGGATGGGACTTCATGGGCTAAAGCTGTAATTGGACAATTTGTATTAATTTATAAAAATGTGAGCTCTTGTGACCAAGCCCTCTTCTGCTTCCAACTTGGAGCCATCCAGGCAGAGCCATGGCTGTGGCCTTTGAAGGCTCTTCAGTAAATATCCTCTTTATTCCCCTTAACTCTGTCTAGTCTCTGTTCAGGCTGAGGACCACACTGGTAACTCAGCATTAACCTCCTGCCACTGGATCCCTCAGCACTGTCCTCCACAGTTGCTTACAGCAGAGTGGCTCTCAGGTTTCAGTAGAAACTTGGTTTCATTGTTCATGTCTTTTTTTTTTAAACCACACCTTAATGTCACACTACATACAATCATCTATCAATTCCATTTCTAACCACTTATTAAAAAGCACAGGTAGTCATACTGAAATAGGGCACTGGTCACAAAAGAACACCATACACAAAACTACATTGATACCTTCAGTAAAAACAAAAAAGAGCCTATATTCTGTTAATTCCATCTTTCCTTCAGAAACTGTGTGTCAGTATTAGAGGCAACACTGGAATACAATGTTAAATCCAAATTATACTGCAAGTTGTTTCCAACCAAAAAGCAGTCATTAAAGCCATCACCCATCTCTACAACAGCTGACAAAAGGATGCTGCAAATACAGCAAATCTAGGATGAGCTGTATTCCTCAGATCCCCAAGTTCTCTGCAAGTTTTTCACTGGAGCTCAAATGAAGCTTTTCCAGGTTTTACTTGAGGAGACAGTCAAAACACTGTACAGACAATGTACCCAACTGTGAAGAATAAGGATTTCTGACATCCTCCACTCCACAAGAAATAATACCTTTCAATCTTAAAGTGTATTTCCTTAAATTCATTCCACATTTGAGGGACAAAGCAGTTGTGGATCTGTTGCCATAATTAGACTGGGAAGCTACTTTAAACACAACCAGGGTACATTCTGACTTTACAGGGGAAATACACTGTCCATGTTTAACCAGGTGGATCAAAATATAAAAGAAATTACAAGGAGCCCAAGACTTGTCCATGGTTATAGCCAAACAGTCATCCAAAGCAATTCTTAATAATTTTAATGTCTTTGTGTGCCTGTCCCCTCCACAGCACTCATTATTGAAAACAAGACACATGGACTCTGTGCCACATCCCGGGGCTCCTTTTTAACAGATGGCACATGAAGAAATCTTCAAACCTCAAACATATAATTCACTTGCATTTCTTCCCAAGGACTAAACACAACTTCTGCTATGACATGCAAAAAGAAATCCGTCTTTTCCTGAAGCCCTTAATCTTTATTTGGGAAAGGAAGTGCCTTCTGCTCCTGCTTAGATGACACGCCAGGAGAGGCTGCTTCTGGAGACACACTGCATTATATTCTTATGTCTCTTGTAACCAACTCTTCCACAGTGTCATACCTTTGGATCTCTTACCCAAAGGCATCCAAGTAGGATCCACACCATACTTTTGGATCTGCACCACACATCTCCCAGCTCCTGTGAGAATTACATGCATTATCTGTGCCTCTAAGGGCCAGCACTGAAGGTTACACGAGCAGTAACAGTCTGAACCAGGTCAAATCACATTTTAGTTATCCCACTGACAATTACTGAAGATCAGCTGACACTAATTTGTCCGTGTGGATTATCTTTAAAACTCTGGCACTGAAATGCATGACTCAGATTGGGAAAGCATCATCTTCTGTTGCAAGTATAAGAGCTACACTTTCATGCTAAGAAAGGCTATGCTCAAAACATGTAAGGTTCTCTTTTCCCCCCTCTTACAAACAAGATTCAACCATCTTTTACAACTGCAATTTTTGTGTGTGTGCACATTAAAAGCTGCATTTCTATGTACAGGATGCTATTTATATAGCACACCACAGTGATGAGACAGAGGTAAGAAGAAATCCCCTCTATGAGGGGAGCCAAGCAGCGGAACCAGTTGCCCAGCAAGG